ATTAAATTGGTAATACGACAGTATCATGCCTGAATTTCTTCTGAGGATGAGCACTTCGAACATTTGCCATATTTCCTTATTTCTAATATTCTTTATTTTCTGCCATGTTTTTAAATTTTGATGTATTTTCCAATAATTTAATGCAATATTGTTCATTTTAGTAGACAGGTATTATTCAGTTAATTATTTTTGTAAATCTAAACTATTTTTTTTACTAAAGTTTTAGTATTCTGCCGTCTTGGAAATATTGAGAACATACTATTTTGTTTTGAAACTCAACACCCTGTATCTTTGTAAATAAGCATTTTGGAAAAAAAATTGTTTGACCAGTTATTTCTTTCAGCGAGAAGTTTTGGTTAAATTTTTATAGCTAATATAGCCCGCCCTGTATACGAATTTAGGGAACACAGCTGTATACACGGTGACCCAAAAAACATGTTTATTTATTGATTTATTATTATTGATTCCTCCAATTCTATAGAGATATTTTAAGTAGAAAGCTTTAAAATTTTGCTTGCCATGCCCCATATTTTCAATTTAAACTGCATATCACTTTTAACATTGATAAATCTAGTACTGAAATAGATATCCTAAATTTATGTGAGAAATTCCCGAGTTTAAAGTAAGTTTATCGGTAAACAATTATTTTGAAATATCCAATTTTTGTCATTTTCTCAGCATAATTAAAGAGTATTATTCTAAACAGAAAGTATCCTATTCCCATTTTTAGAAAGTAACCTATTCCCATTTTTAGAAAGAATCAAGTTGAATATTAAATTAGTTCTTCATACAACTCAGCATCTTAAAATATACAGAAGGATTTTTCCATTCCTCGTTTTCTCGAAATGTAACTTAATATATTTCATGAATTAAAATTTTAAGTACGATTTCACTTTGTACAAAAACAAAAATATCCATATGCATCTAACTAGGCAAGCGCGGAAATACAAGAATCTCGTGACAAACGGCTAATTAATTCAGTTATGTTACTAGTTAAATTGGCTGTATAATCCGTTGAAATACGAGTATTTAGTTAATATCTGAATTAGTTATTTAAATCCGCAGCTTTTGATAAATTAACAGGTAATTAATTTTTACAAAACCACTGGGAAATAATACTGGGATTGAAATACTTGCATACATATTGGTTTTTATTCATGTTTTATTTTAATTTTTGACCAACAAATTAGATTTATTTAATTTTTGCTCTAAAATTTACAAAGATGTAGTGGTTTGACTTGGTGAGTCTTATTTCTCAGTCATTAATATTTTTTAACAATTTTTATTACTCTTAGAATATCTTAATAACATTAAATCATTAACTAATTACATACACAATGCGAGATTTTAATTCGAAACAAAAATTAAAGTTGTTTGTGTGGTATAAATAGGAACCATTTCAATGCAAAATGTAACTGTACTTTATTTTAGATAGTGTCGTAACAATTATTTGCATAAAATACCATGCTGCTCACTGTTAATAATGGTGTCTTTGATATATTTAATTTATTGATACAGAAACTGATGGAACTATCTTTCGCAAGATATTACTTTGTACATTCTTTGGCGCTTCTGCGACATTGAAACACTTTTTTTCGGAAATAGCAATGTATTTTACCCGTAACTTTCTCATCGTTATATTGCATCTGTAATGAAAAAATAGAGACAATTTCTTCTAGAAAATATTCGTCCAATTCATAGATGATTCAACTGTTTAGAACTAGAGTCAGATCCTTGTCAGGTTTACTCAGCACAACGAAATTTAGAAACTTTACAAACAGCGCGTAAATATGTAGAAATATATAAAAAAACAATGTTTTCTTCAAGGTTTAGTTTTAATGATGTAATCAAATTTCTTATTTTAGCAGTATGGACTTCCTTTGATGTAGTGGCAATAGAATTAAGATTTACGGTTTCGGAAAAAAGAAATAAGGTTATTTTTATGCTATACAGGGTATCCCATAATTAGTGTGCAATACTTTAGCAGTAGATTCTACGATCAAAAATAAGATTATTTTTTCCTACAAATAAGGGTAGAAAAATGTTTCCTGAGGGAGCTACGCCCCCCTAAAAGGGGCCTTAGGAGATCATATTTTTCAAAATATTTCCAAAACCAGTTAACGTATCAATATGAATTTTGGTATGTTGGACACTCAATGAATGTTCAAACGAACTACACGAAAACTGTTTAAAAATTTTAGCCAGTGGTGCTCAACGTACCAAAATTCATAATGATACGTTAACTAGTTTTGGAAATATTTTGAAAAATATCATCTCCTAAGGCCCCTTTTAGGGGGAGGGGGCGTAGTTCCCTTAGGAAGCATTTTTCGACCTTTGTTTATAGGACAAATAATCTTATTTTTTATCTACTACTCTACTGCTAATCTACTAATCTACTACTAATCTACTAATCTACTGCTAAAGTACAGCACACTAATTATAGGATACCCTGTATATTAGTTATACCAGTGGTATTCAACTGGGGGTACACGTATCCCTAGAGGTTCCTTTGATTCTCAGAATTATTGCATTAAATAAAGACACTTGACATATTCCAGAATTATTTTTTTTATAATGTTAAACTATCAGTTTTTTTATTCATTGTGAACTAACGACACATTTTTTCTGAAGAGAATATGTAATAGTAAAATATAAAAAAATAAAATATTAAATTATAAAATGTAAAGAAAACAACACATAAAATTCCTCTCAGTCTACATACCAACCAGACAGCAACGTCTTTAATAGATGCATATTTTACTGCTTTATTACTGTATTTTTTCTTAGCTGAAATAAGCACCTAATAGCAGGTTATAAATATCATTTAGTACCCAAAGCATAACTAACATATTTCCATTCTAATAGCGCTATTGAAGAACTTATTACCCATTATACTAAAATAAATTTCCATAACAAAGTGGCTCTTTCGCGGGTCGTTAGAAAGGAGAAGATGGGCAAATTTACTTCCTTATGACGATCAAAAGGACAATATTTGCACAGAGCTTTTTTTTAAATATGTGGCAATTATTATACTTGATTTAAATTTATGTCGCTTTAAAAAAATACTTATTTAAAAACACGAAATGACGAATGAGCGTACCTAAAGTTTATTTGTTTTAAAAGTTTTAAAAAAATTCAAAAGTTATTGTTCGACACAAGCTGTAATTAATAGTTATGTGAAATAAAAATCATATATTTCAAAAATGCAAACTTTGAAATGAATTTCCTGTTGGTCTTGGATCACGTTGGACAATTGTCATTAAGCAATTAGTCATCATGAATGAGATCTGACGAATTTCTGCATTATTACAATTGCTATTTCAGATGGTTTCATTTTTAAATTAATTAATATTCAGACCTCTATTAACGTCATTTAAAAAGGACACAAAATCCAATAGTTAAAATGCAGGTTAGTTCGTCTATCATGGTTAAATACTTGATGACGATTTGTAAAAGAATAAAGAATATTATTTAGTGGTCTCCATATGTCCGGTGTCCGGTGTGTTTCTTTCATTAATAACAATTATTAATTGCTAGCTTGTCTATTACTTAAGTTATACAGGGTGTTTGGAAAAGTTGGTACAAAATTTAAGGGGGTGAAAGTGGAGACAAAAATAGTAAAAAAAGTTCCTATAAACACTGGTCCTCCGAAGCACCGTTACTGAGTACCTCTCCAAAGGGATTTTATCATTTGGATATTTTTTGAAATAACTTTCTTTCTGATTATGATAACGGAATGAAAGTTGTAGGTAATAATCATACCATAAGGGTCTTTAACTACCATCAGTTTTAGCAATTTTGTACCAACTTTTCCAACCAGCCTGTATATCTTTATTACAACTATATGTTGGTATAAGAGAACATTTTAAGAATTAATTTGAAAAAGCTTTTTACTTTTAAAACAAAGTAAAAATCACCTGCTAAACATTACGCTTTTAAGAATTCTTTGGAGAATACCATCTTTCTTTCCTATCAGCATAATTGTATTTCTAGAGGTACGACATTATTTCTAACAACTTCAATAGAGGATCAGTAGTTACCAGGAAGTTACGATCTGTCACATCAAAGCCTAAATGGAAAGCACGCGGAAGAGGATCCCTTCCTTATTTCAGATGAAACGTATTTTTACCTTATTCGTTTAGTCGAGTGTTCTCTTCAAGAATTCTAACAATTTGAATCGAGTATCTTTGGACAGAACTATATCACCAGTTTCCTAATACTGTACCTCTTTCATAAAAATATTTTAGATCCATATAATTAAACTATTACCAACTTATTAACATAAATTTTATTATCCTGCTGTATTAAGTGAATCTTATGGATTATTTCTATTCCAATACTTTGGTTTGATCATGGACAGAAAAAAAAATGAATCTGATTTTAATATTTTAATGATTTTAATAATCACCCTTTATTAAATATAATAACGTTAATATCTTGCCATTTTCAGTAAATATTGAATTATTGAATTTACATGCTTCTCATCATTTATGAATAATCATACACCTACATTTTACCAGTAAATTTTACATACAATCGTATTTTAATCAAATACATGGATGCTAGTGGAAATATAATAGCAGATTCTCCGTGTAGAGCCCTTAGAAATTGTTTTAAGAAGAAATTCTATTCGTGTTTTTTTACTTTAGCTGTAAGGGGCTGACATGACTATATAATTATCTTTTAACGGTACTTAGAGAACATTTTGGCACCCTCTCAGTTATTCAATCTAGATAAAACTGAGATTAACTTTGCACAACACAGAATGCTATCCACCTGTAAGCATAGTCAGTCTAGTCTCGCCCGACACATATTCAAAAAACGATCTGTCATCGTGACCCAATAAAAAACCAATTAGATCGAAAACAGAAGCGCAACAAGGTGGATGAACTCAACTATAACAATACCCAAAGTGGGGAGCCCTATCCACGGCAACAGATTGCAATTGACTATATGAGTGCAGATAGAAAGTTTCTGTTACGAGTTTGCAACAGCAGGCGAGACAGTCTAAAGCGGTGAAGTGCATTGTTGATTTTAACTTGAGAAAAGTGCGAGAGATCATGAGGTACTCGTTAGTGTCCATATTTTTGGTTTGTTCCTTGGGATTTTCCAGGGGAGATGCGGGGCAACCAGGCAAGTGCAATCCTTTTCCGATCCTTGTTTTAATAAAGAGCGAATGTTAATTTAACAGACTTAATCTCCGATCGTATCGAAAGTTAACCTATAAATGACAATGAACAGTTATACATAAAATAATGATGGCTTATTATTTATTTCGTCTGAAAGTTATTTGTGGCATAACTGATTAAATTAAGTCGAGGGTTGGTTTTAATAAGTTATTTTTGTCTACCAAAAAGTCACACCGAAAGAAAGAGATACAAAAATTGCATCAATACATCACTTTTTGTAAAATAAATATTGAAGCTACTTTTTTGTCTATTCGCTCTTTTCTGTGTGAGTTATGTAAAAATATTTCATTAAAACAATCCTTGACTGATCCATTTTGTGTAAAGGTTCAATGAATTAATCCTGAAATCTTTTCATAGACAACATAATACCAAAGTAAACAGAAAAAGAACCGAATAAAACTTTTTTGTTTAGATTTTCGGATCAGATATTAGAAAAGTGGTGCAAAATTTAAAAAAATGCCATGTTTCTAAAAATATTCAGTGTTTTATTGAAAGAAATTTTATTATTTTTAATTTGGAATTAATTAACAAAAAATTTTGCACGTAGTCTGTCATATATCTTTGAAAATTTTGCTCATATTCAGTAATATCTTGAATATTTTTGCATTTAAAGTACATAATTGTATTTATTGTGATATTGACGTGGAAAAAAATTCTAAAATTGAAAAAAATTTACAAATAATCCTTTATCCCGATAGGATAAGTGGAGGTACTTTTTTTATACATCTTTTCTCATTTAGAAGGTAGGTACTTTTTATTGATTTCACTAAAAACATTTGTAACATATTAGGCGTCGTTTCCCAACCGTTTCAATTTTTCTTTTTGGTATATTTGAATTGAAATAGTCAAATTTAACATATTTTTTTATTTCAAAGTAAGAAATTCTTGGTGTGGAAACCAAAAATAAATAATTACATAGAGTTTATTTGACTTTAATTTTATAAAGTAAATAGGAATTGGCAATTCTGCAAATCATTTGATTGTCTTTAACACCTGTAAATTGTTAAAAATTCTTTTGTAAAAAAATAAATCGCTACATTTCTAATTGGACTTCGATCAAATTCGATATTGAATATATTTAGACGTATTTACATTTCAAAATGTTACAGATATAATAATAAGGTCTGTTTGATCCCACACAACAACTGTTATTGTTAACATTATGAACTATATATACTTTCTATAATAACATTCAGCCGCTTATTCAATTCAAACAATATCGAGGTTTCGCAATCCATACACAAGTGTGTCCAATTCATCAAAAAGATCGCTGATAGCTTTGCTTTTATGCAATAGAAAATAAGTTAAGTACAAGATAAGGTTCAGAAATGTACCAAATTACCTGTTCGCAACCTACGCAATCCTGATACAGTACTCAAAATTCGTTTTCTTTAGACCTAACGAATACTGTAGCAAGGCAAAAACTGTGTCAAGACACTAGCTTTCTGATTATAATTTGGTTTATTGGTATTAGTAAATAAATACATTTTCTGGAACTTCAATACTGGTGGTTCATTTGAAAAGTATTATAAAACTGGCGCCTTCACCAAAAATGATAAAACAAAAAAATTGTAAAAAAAAACGTATTTTAACTTCTATAATTTGTTTTTCACGTTTATACTAACCGTTTAGGGATTCATGGTTTAACTTGACTCTTAAGGTACTTGATACGATTTAACTTGTAAATCAAGTCAAGCCAAGTAGTTATAGGTATACCAAGTATTTGAAAATTTATATTGATCTTTTGTCATTGCATTTTGGAATAACGTCATCACATCTTCCTAAATATTTAGTTATACAAATTTCAGTGGCAATTTTAGTAAAATAAATAATTTTAAAATTGTTTACCTTAATTGTTTCTAATTCAGAACTGTGTTAAAAATTTAAAACATATAATAGAGGATTGAACAGCTTTTTTCTTTAAAGCTTTTAAATATTATGAAATGATATATCTATTGTGAAATTTTTTAAATTTCTTGTATTATTGGTTTAGTCAAGTAGCGAATTTATAAAAAGTTTCAGGTTAAAAACATCAAGCAACTTGGTGAACCACTGATTTTTTTTAGGACACTATTTTTTAACTTGTAATCATGTTTATAAGGTTATTTAGAACTGAGAACAATCTACTGCTTTCCGATTTTCTCCTTCTTTACATAAAAAAATAGAGCGAGACATTATCGGTCTATAAAGAGAACAATTAGAGAGAGATAAATAATATTAACAATTAATGACTTTGTAGTCCAGATGGCTATATTTTTGAAATAAAATTGTGTACATTATTTCACCAAAATTTTGATTTGAAAAGTTTACTGAACAAATATATACATTTATGGCTTAATCCGAAAACAAAGCTGTTGCAATTTCGTATAGTAAATGTTTAATATAACCTACTTGATAACTTCAATCCAGACTTACTTTTTTTCAGAATACTTGACATTCAACTGGTTATTGTTCAAATTATCACATTTGTTTATTATGTAAACACGAAACTTTTTTTAACAACTATTTCGTTAACGTTATTAATATTTTATAAAAAACAAATAATAACTTGGTAATTAAAGTTAATTTGAGTTACTCAAACATTAAAAGTGGGTTGGCAGAAAAACTTGCATAAAGCAGTAATTTAATTCGTGAATTAAAGAAACATAGGAAAATCCTTCATGAAATAAAAAAAAACTAATTTAAAATTTAATAATTTATTTGGAAGGTCAGATCGATTTCGTTGCTAATGTAGATTAATTATGTAATATTAATAATACCATATGATTCTGTTTCGGCGACTGACACCATGAAATTTTTTTACAAGGATATAATATACAATCAACAGATGATATTTAATCCCAAAAATGTGCTATTGTAAAAGGACAGCACTAAACACTGATGCATGTAAGAAGGATTCAGAGTATAAAATTAGAAAAACAAATTTAAAATCATACAGCAGAAATATCAGGTTCTTGATTTACTTCTTGGTACAATTACGATAGTTATTAATTTGTCCAACTTTCGGTTTAAGGAAATTAGTTTCAGCTGTTTTAGATGATAACTAAATATTTTGTTACTAAGTACCTCCCTAAAAGAACGCAAATGAGGAATAGGAGTATAAATAAATAAGTTCAATTTTATTTAAACAGGGACAGATTTAACTACCCCTAAAATAATTTCTTGAGCAACAGCATGTTATAAATAATATAAGTTATTGGCTACACATTTTTAGGACAAAAATAATTAGGTGCGTGTTTTGCAAGATACAAGGTGTCGAGATTATAATTAAAAACACAGATTTTTATTAATCACTCCCTTGTTTTTAAGAACTCCATTCAAATTTTGCAAGATTTAATGTTTTGTTTTGTTTTTATAGTATATTTGCTTCATACTTATATTTTTAATTTTTGCAAAAATTTAACGAGGGACTTAGAAAACCCGATATGGACTTGTTTAACATTAAATTGACAAACATCTCGATTGTAAAAAAAATGGCAGATAACTATTATTTTTACGTGGATGGTCTGCTTTAGATATTTATCTTCTTCAGACCATTGACCTTATAATTTGTGACCAACATCTTTTATTAAATATGCTCTTTATTTTATTGGTAAATTCGTATTACCATCATAACCTTTTCGAATATTTAAGAAAAATTCCTACTCCGTTTGATGTATTGTGACATTTTAAACGAAAAGGTGATATTTGATGTTGCGTACTATGAAACCGAGGTCCTTGAGTATTGGCGAAGGTTATTCGTTTTCACGACTGTCGAATGAAGACTTCTAAAACTATTGTAATTGAGGTTATCGCCTAAATCAACGAGTAACTAGATCCGAATTGCAAAACGCGTTGCAGTGAGTGAAAATTTGAAGGTTAATGGACGACGTGATGTCGCAAATCTTAAAAAATTGTACGGGTTGCCCCAGACTAAAAGAATTGCAACTTAATAAATGTTTCGTGAAAGTTTTAAATATTTTTGTAATTAGTCAAAGAGGATGACCATTTTAGTCCTAGTGACTACTTTGAGCTACTTTACTACACAACAGGAGTTCCTTTGACGTTAAGGCAATGCATTTTTCGGGATTATAATTAGTTGTTGAGACAAATATCTAGATGGCTGATTTTTGCTAAACTAATATTTAAATACCTCGTAGCTCGCTCCTACATCTGCAAAGTGTGTACAGCAGTGGTCATGGCTACCATCGTGCAGCAGTGAAAGAGTGGGAGTAGCGCATATTTACTACGCAGTTTGGGTTCTGTTTAGTTCGACTGTAACCAAATACTATTATCTTTTTAGAGCATTAGGTAGAAGCTCTTTGTTTCACATTATTCCTTTACTACTAGGTACTTCTGTTTAACATAAAAACTTGTCTGGTGATATTTGACACTTAGTCTTGACTTTTCTTTCAAAATAATACCTCTTGATGAGTTTAAAGAACAAAATTGAATAAAATATAAGAAATTTTAAATATATCAATTTTATGGATATCACAGGATATGTTATTCGGTATTTCTTTCTTTATAATAATAAAAAAATTTCAATTAAGAATTTTATGCAAAATAGCTCGTGACTCGCAACTACTCGTGATTATTCTAGGAAGCATGAGGACCATTAACTTATTATATTCTAACAAAAAATATAAATCATAAAATAAATGTTTAGAACACCACAGTAGAGACATTCACAAAGTTATATTTATTTGAAGTAAGTTTCTTATATTTCAGTTTTTTGTTAGAAAGCTTGATTTACAGCACCTATAAAATAACTGACGCTTTTTATACAATTTTGCATCATTTTAAGTCGGACAAAATAATCATATTTTAATAAAAAACGCTCATCTAAATTCAAATTATATTTTAAAATACTTGGAGCTTTGATTAAACAGCCTAGGCCAGGAAAATAAGCTGGAAAATTACCATTTCGCAACTTTTTGTTTCGGCAAGCTGAATTTGTCACTA